ACTAATGATTCGTTAAAATTAAGTTTAAATAAAGTTTTTAATAATACACATAAAATAAAATACTATTATTACCAAAACATTTTTCTGTTTAATCAGATTGTGTTACATGTTACAAACGGCGCGTCACGTCATAATAATTTGCACATATTTTTTATAAGTTTCACAGTGAATTAATTGCAGTTTTGTTTTAATTTAAAAGTTGTAAAAATTATTCTATTATTTTTAAATAATGGATAATCAAGTAGTATGTGGTAAGTGTTAACAATAATAAACTATATTAACAATAATATAATAGTATTTCTAAAATAAAACAATATTTAGTGGCACAGTAAAATTGTATAACTTATTTTATTTTATTTTATGTATATTATTAAAAACTTTATTTAAACTTAATTTTAACGAATCATTAGTTTTAATTACATCTAATTTTTACAACTTTTAAGCTGATAAAGTTGATCGAACTGATAAAACCAATGAAATGATTAAAATTACAATTTTTACAAAAATACACGTTTATTATAGGGAAATTCTATGTGCAGGGCTCAAATGCAATCTGACGCAAAATTTTTTTTTTTGTAATTGTAGCTTAAGAGTTCTTCTACAACATGCATGTATTGGTGTAATCGTAATATTGCGTAATTTTGAGTTAAACTCTTTAAAAAACAATGTAAAATAAGTATTTGCATTTTTTTGTGTGTAAAAAATTATTAAAATTAAAAAAAAAAAGAAATAAAAATTTTTTCTTAGTAAATTTGAAAGCCGATGACTTTTTAAACATTTTAAATTAAAAAAAAAAAAATTAAGGTTTTTAATTAAGCAGGAAAAAATGATTGAAGAAATAATAAAAATCCTAGAAAAAAAACAAAAAAATACAGTGTTATGATATTTAAATAGCACCCAACCATTACTATATCAATTTTTGGCCTTGAATTTTTGTACATGACCTTATAAGGATATAATAAAAAAAATTTGCTAAAAAAAAAATTTTTATTAGTTGATTTAAAAATGGTACTTTTGGCCGGCTAAATCAGCGTTTGGTCCCACTGTGTGCCGTATCCTTTCAAGTCGCTAGCGCCGGGACATATTGGACCAAAAAATGAATTAATTATCATAACTTTTAACTCAACTTGCAAGTTTTAAATTGACATTATTAAATAGAAAATAATGGAATAATTAAGATTAATATGCACTTAGGAAATTTTATAATTACTATTTACAGTAAATTTATTAGTAAAGCTCGATTTTATTGCATTTTTATTGTAATAGAAATCATAGTAATCATTTATAATCAACTTTTGGTGTTTAAAAAGATTCTACAATGAAATATACAAAACTGAATTAATTTTTTGTTTTATATGATTTACTATAACTAAAAAAACCAATGAAAAAGAAGTTTTTAATAAGATCTACTCAATTGAGCGATTATAAATTTTGATTATAGTTGTAAAAATCAATTGTTAAATTCAGGTGAAACTAAAAATCATTTTTTTTTTAGATTTGTGATTTATATAGCAACAATATAGGGTGGTGACCCTATAATTTCGACCTGAAAGGGGCCAAAATTTTTTTTTAAGTTTTAAAAAGTTGATAGTTAAATTAATTGTTGTGTTTATTATATGGTGTAAAAATTTTTTTTACTAATAATAAAATTTAATACTTTATTATGATGTTTTATTAAGTCTTATAATTAACTTAATATCAAAAATATAATTCTTGTACTTAATGGCTTTTATAGAATAATTTTTTCCACAATTTTTATCATAAATCATCATCAACAGATCATAAATTTATGATTATGTAATTGATAAATAGCATGTATGGTTATTTTTCTGCCTTAATACTGTGTAACAATGATATCTTTATTGATAGAAATCAATAAAGATAAAATCAAAATTTAGTTTTAAAAAAACGTGAAAATAAGGTTTTAATTTTTTAAAAAAAAATTTTACACCATATAATAAACACAACAATTAATTAAACTATCAATTTTTTAAAACTTAAAAAAAAATTTTGGCCCCTTTCAGGTCGATCCGAAAAGTACCATATACTTAGACGTTTAGGTAAATTACGTAATCAATATAGGTCTTAGAAATTAAAAAATTATAAAATCGTTTTCTACATTAAAAATACAACATTTTACATATATAGATGATTATAATTGACCAAAATTTAGAATTTTAACCATATTTTAATAAATAAGGGGTATTTTTGGTAAAAATACGAAAAACGCTTTGTGCGACTGGTAAAAATTTTTTTATCGATCTCAAATTTTCAAAACATGTTTTTTTTTATATACTTAATAAATCTAGAGGGTGTCTGATAAAAATTTTTAAAGTCGATTTTTTTTGCGCCACCCTAAGCAACATGTTACCAAAAAATTTGAAATATTAACTGTCTATAATATTTCAAAAATTTGGAATGTAATAGACTATTAGTAACACACACAAATTAAGTTAAAAATTAATAAATTACAAAGTAAAATTATTTACTATTGTAGTTAAATACTTTTATCATATCAAATCTAATTCGATAATAAATACATTAAAAATATTAGAAATCAATCATTTTGATTGTTTGTATGGATAAAGCTGTTTATGGTACTTTTTATTTGATTAAGGGATTTTTTTTAATTTTTGAGGATAATATATTGAACTAAATACGAATTGTAATATCGTTGAAAAAAGTAGGTTAATTGAGGGTTGGAAAAATAAATCGCAACCACAAAAAGAAACACATTGTAAAATAATATTAACATTAATAAAAAATTTCTTCTCGTGAGGGGAGACTACAATGATTTAAATATTTTTGATTTTAAAAATCAAAAATATTTAAATAAGTTTAACTTCTTAAGTCTTATGAATTTTATTCTAAATAATAATATAAGCTTTAATTTAAGATTAAATAAAAGTCTCAATATTTCTAGAACATTTTGCAAAAAATATTTTGAAAAAGCTTAACTTGTGTGCAAAAATTTTTTTTTTAATTCCCCCTGCGGGCTGGTTTAGAGTCATATTTTCAAAAAAAATGTATCAAATGAAAGAAAAATATCTAAGGTTTCAATATAAAAAAATGAATTTTAATTTGTTCATTTTTCAAAAAGTTATGGCAGTTTTAAGTATTAAAATATTTTATGTTAAACAGTTATTTTTACATAAAAATTATAACTTTCGTTAAATCCGACGGCCATTTTCCTATAAAAGAAAGGGTGTTAGGACAAATTTTTTTTTTGAATTTATAGTATTTATTATAAGCTTTAATTTGACATATGTTTAAAGGACGCCGTATTTCCGGAACATTTTCAAAAGTTAAGTTGAAGAAGTTCTATTTTTTATACGAATTTTTTAAGTTTTGAACGTCCCCTATATAAAGGAAAATTGTCCAATTTAAATAAAAATTATGTTAAATGAAAGAGATATATATATAGTATTTAGAAAAAAAATTTGTGTTGATACATACATTATTTTAAGTTATAAGTTGAAAATTGAAAATCAAAAAATAAAACATAAAGATAGCATTTTTTAAACTACGGTAGCCGTTCGCACGTAGAAGATAAGGTGACAGGAAAAAATATTTTTTTTTCATTTTATAGTACATGACATAAGCTTTAATTTGATATACGTTTAAAAGGATGCAGTATTTCTAGAAAATTTTCAAAAGTTAGCTTTTGTAAATAAGTTTCTATTTTAAATCCCCCCTGTTAAGTGTTAGATTTAAAAAAAAACGACATCACATAAAAGGAAAATATTTAAGGTTTCGATAAAAAAAAAAATTAAAGTTGTTGTTTTAATTTTTAAAAAAGTTACGGTAGTTCTAAGAAAAAAAAGTGAAAAAAATGACGAAATTTACCGTTTTGAAAAATTGTAATTTTTTTGGAAATTTCCCCCGTTTACTGGGAACGAGGGAATTTTTTTCAATTTTTAAGGGTAATGTCTTCAACTAGACATCTAACACATCTTGGTAAAATAATACCTTCTCAGCTTCGCATCGAAACTAAAATTTCACATAATATTGTTGACACAATATTGTATCAACATATTTTGAGTCCTATGGTAAAAATTTCAACTTTGGTATTTTACTGGAACCAACATAAAATTAGCTTTGAAAAATCCCTTTTTGCTTCGATGTTAATTTTACCTAGTAACTAAATGTAATCATCACGTAGATGATATTCTTTTTTACATAAGTGTTATATTTAGTTTTTAATTGTGAATATCTTCTTTAAAGACAATAATTTGAAACTTTAAAATTATTTTACTTACCAAAAAATTGTATTTTTCAGAATTTTTAATTACAGCAAATTTGTATTGGTATGGTATATAAAAGTTGTTTAATGATAAATTAAATGTAACACGATGATTAAAATAATTGTGGATTCAATTTATTACACCTTTAACTATATCCATAAAATTAAATTAATTAAAAACACGGTTTACAATATTAAAGTCCGATATAAAGTCAATATATCTATTTTTCGACGACACGTGCGGCGGATGTAAGTCACAAACCAACTGGTATACATAATCACCGACGTGCACCCCCTGACCTGTCCTATCTACCGACCACAAGACAAGACAAACTAGTGTTATCGTCAACACTAATGAGTGCAACGGTGGACAGCTGATAATCACAACCGGATAACGTGCTAGTTCATTGTAAACGAATGGTGCGCTATTACGGGCCGTGTCAGTATTCAGAAAATTTTAAGCTCCAAAAGCCTTTTTACATGTTTTATAATTTTACATTCAAATAGACAAAATAAAGTCCTCAAATTTATATGTGATAAATATAATATTTAAAGAACTCCTGGTTATGAAACATTTTAAAAATATTAAATTTGTAAACTTTAAAAATACGAATTTTACAAAGTAAAATCACAAACTATCCGTACTAAATGTGAAAGATACACATGCCTCAGAATTTAGATATATTGGAGGGATTCCACAATTTCAAAGCGTATTGCGTATTTTTTGAAAGGTTTAAATTTAAGCAATTATACATGATGATTTAAAAACGTTTAATTCATAACAATATATGTATTATAATAAGTCTTTAAAATATGAAAAATTATTGTTACAATAGCATATAAAACTTAAAATCTTTAAACAGTAATTTTTTGTTTAATTCTGTAGAACCCAAGCATCTTTTTTGATATATTTGATAATGAACGCGGCTCCCACATGAAGAAAAATGTGTCCAATAGCTTTTGTCAAATCTATCAATATTATTGGATGACTTAATGGCAGTGCTTTTACGGTTATATTTGTAATTAATCTTCCATAAACAGTAATAGGTAAGTTGTAAGAAATTATTTGTAGATACCATGGTTGCGAGATTAACGGCCAAATATAATCTACACAAAAAATGAATATTTTTAACGTTAGAGTTCTAATACATTTACTAAAATATAGAATTTCAAAATATAGTTTAAAAAAACACGCTTTTAAAGCACATCGAACTAAAAAGTTAAAAATAATTTTTAACTTTTTAGTTCGATGAACTTTAGAAGCGTGTTTTTTAAGTTTTTTTAAACTATATTTATTTTTTACTTTTTAGTTTCATGTTATGATAGTAGTTACTATCAATATCATGGTTGTGACGGGTAACGGGAAATCAGGGTTCGATATCGGGGAGGGAGTCTGAGAAACGGTTACCACATCCAAGGAAAGCAGCAGGCGCGTAAATTACTCACTCCCGGAACGTGGAGGTAGTGACGAAAAATGACGATACGGAAATCATCCCTCGTAATCGGAATGAATACTTTATATCTCTTNTGTAAAGCGACATAAGTACGTAAACGTATCATGCACTAGGTATAGCCTTGTTTTGTGGGCGGGGGGAACGTTATACCTAAGGTATAAACGGCAGCAGCGGCGATAGGAATATATAAATATATATACGTAAGGCATTACATGGTATTGGTCAGCCAAAATAAAAATTTGTTTATATATATATAATTAATGTCACGCACGAGTGTCATGGTACGAAAACCAAAAATATAAAATTATAAAGGATTAGTGTTTTCGGCGATTGGTGAGCGGGGTGGGGTAAATGCGTTACGACGTCTAGTCTAGACGACGAGATACGCGAGAATAATAACACGTGCCCCGTGGAAAGTTACAAACACACAACACACATCACACATACATGTGAAACTAATATAAGCGTGTTAATAAAAGAGACAGACTTTCCGGAACACTTTCAAACGTTAATTTTTTGTGTAAAAGTTGTCATTTTGAATCCCCCCTGTGGCCAGGTAAAAAGTCAAATTTATAAAAAAATATACAAAATAATAGATAAAGACATTATACATCCGAAAAAAAAGAAATAAAGCGATATAATCATTATTGAAAAATTTATGGCAGTTTTAAGTAAAAAAAATTGAAAAAATTTCGAAAATTATGCATTTTTTTATTTGTAATTTTTTTGGAAATTTTACCCATTTACGGTGAATGAGCGAAATTTTTTCAATTTTTGAGGGTATTGTCTCCGATTAGATACAATTTATGATCTTTTGACGTATCGTTGAAAGAAATTGGTTTTGTTAGAACTAAGAGAAAGTGGTAACAGACACAAAAAAAAAACACATTATAGTAAAACCAATACCTTCTTAGCTTCGCATCAAAGCTAAAATTGAAAATTTTTATCATATTTTTTTTAACTTTTCAAAGCAACTGATTTTAGAACTTTTCTTATAAAAAAATTGTATGGGTCAATAACAATTTTAACCTGAGAACTTATTGTTTTACAAAACTTTAAATACTTAAGTTTACCAGTAGAAGTATACTCGTACACTAATATGAGCTTCATCCAACTTCACTACATCATTAGCCACTCAAAGTATTAAAATGCTTCTAACATAATAAATACTTATTCTGAAATTATTATTAATCCATAACGTTTTTTAGTATAAAAAGCTCTAAAAATGGCTATTTTGTAATTTAAATAAAAAATGTGATTTATTTTTATTATTAAAAAAAAAATAATAATAAATATAATTTTAACGTAGTTTATAAATATACAAACTATTAAAAAGAAAGTTAAAATTAACACTAAATACTTTATAGATCACAAGTTATCAAATTTGTAAAAACATCGTGAACCTCCTGTAAGAATGATTTTTTTTTCGTTGGCCACTCAAATTCTTTTAATATAATTTTTTTTCGCTTTTTTAAACCCATTAGGGCCATAGCAGTCTCCCCCAAAATAAGAGTTTTCGTAACCATTGATTCTCCAAGACAGGTGTTTAGACTGTCGACGGATAGAGAGTTAGCTACATTTTTTTAATTAGATCATTTTCTATTTTATAAACTAGTTAAAAATGTATGTTATTATTTAAATAAATAAAGCTGATACCCTTATAAGACATAAGAGATGAACTTCAAAATTATTTTATAATAAATAAATATAGATACATAAGTAACTAACAAAAAAAAAGAAAAAATATATTATTTAAAGATAAATCAAGTGACCAGCGTTAAAAGAATCGACTTATATTTATAAAAATTTATTTTGTTTTATCATGAAATGTTTGTTAGTCACATTATTAGTAATTATTACTTATTTTTAGACTAAATATATATTGTTAAATAATCTTAGAAGTTTTACATCACTAAATATTACCTCCTATAAATGCTTCAGATAGGTTATATCCAAATGTCAAAAACATAACAGAAACACTATTTGTTGATACTGCAGATGCAATCAATCCTAAATTTAAATTATAGATTTTAAGTACACGATTGTCATTATAGGTATATAATAAATGTATTAAATTATAAAATTTATTGTTTGAAAGGTTCTCATTTAAATTTGACTTAATGGTATAACTATGAGTTAATGTTATGTAACATAATTTTATAATTTTATATTTAAAAAATTAATTCGTACAGAATAAATATACTTATTTATAATAATAATAATACTTATTTACCGTATAGAAAACCATTCACACTGATGAGTGTCAATAAGAAAGGTATTAACCACAATCCAAATGATATCTCAATTGGATTTTCGAAAATAAATAGTGAGATAAGTACAAACAAAGTATTTTGTATAGTAAATCCAATCGATTGAACAAGGAGTAATGATATTACAACTTCTACTATAGATACACCTGAAATCATCAAAAGTCATATTAAAAATTTTAGTCATAAATGAAATTCTACAATATATACCTGCTACCATTGATCTACTTAGTAAACCATCAAGTTTTTCCAAAAGCATAAAAGTTGCTGAGCAAGCACTTGCAAAATAAAAAGCCATACTAAAAAAAATTAATTAAAAATGAAGTTATTATCATAATTTAACTAAATTGAGGATAATTTGTAAACTTTAATTAGTAAAAAAAACTTTGTTCCTGACTCCAGATGATATTGATCAAATTTTTTTTTCAATAAAATTATATGATTTTGAAATTTTATAATATGAAAATTCGTATAAAATTTTTTACATTTCCAAATACTACTACCATTCTAAAATTATTATGTCTAAAAAATAACCAGAGTTGTAAGTTCGTGCATATATAATTTTTTTTCGCTGTCCTAAAAAAGTCTTAGTGAAAACAAAAAAAATAAAACCCCGCACAGGGGGGTCGCGGCACAGTGGTTACGTGGCATAGTTGGATCAAGTATAATGATATCTGACAGTGATTAAAATCACTATCAAAAAAAAACGCTTCGATGCAAATCTTTAGATAGTGTTTAATTTTAAAAAATTGGTGGATTATTCCAAAAGCTTCATAAACTGCTAGTTCCTTATTAATATCCTGATTAAGACAAAGTATGTAGAATAAAAAAGAGATTATTAGAAAATAGTATTTCCCATAAAAAAATTATATTGATCAATACACTTTTCAATAAGTTATAGCATTATAATGTTAAAAATGTAAAAAAAAAAATTGAGAATTTTCACACAATAATAGCATTTGGTAGCCATTTTCACCTTGAAGATAAAATAAAGTCCGAAATTTTTTTTTTCCATGATAAAGTATATTACATTAGCTTTAATTTAAGATATATATAAAAGTGTCAGACTTTCCGGAACACTTTCAAAATTTAAGTTGAAAAAGTCAATTTTTTGTGAAAAAGTTGTCATTTTGAATCCCCCCCTGTAGGCAGGTAAAAAGTCAGATTTATAAAAAAAATATACCAAATGATAGGTAAAGACATCATGCATCTACAAAAAAAAGAATTATATTGATCCATACATCTTTCGAGAAGTTATAGCATTATAAAGTTAAAAATATAAAAAAGAATTTTTTTACAAAAATCGTATTTTTTTTATTAAGTTTAATGTCTGTTTTCACCATGAAGATAAAATAAAGTCCGAAATTTTTTTTTACCATTATAAAGTATATTACATTAGCTTTAATTTAAGATATATATAAAAGTGTCAGACCTTCCGGAACACTTTCAAAAGTTACGTTGAAAAAGTTCTACTTTCTATATGCATTTTTATGTTTTGAATCCCCCCTGTATTTAGGGAAATGGTCCGATTTAAAAAAACAGTATGTCGAATGAAAGATCTATATAAATACTACTTCTCATAAAAAAATTGTAATGATTCATACATTTTTCAAAAAGTTATAGCATAATAAAGTTAAAAATGGAAAATACAAAATCGAAAATTTTCACACAAAAATAGCATTCGGTAGCCATTTTCACCATGAAGATAAGATAAAGTCCGAAATTTTTTTTTTTCATGATAAAGCATATTACATTAGCTTTAATTTAAGATATATATAAAAGTGTCAGACCTTCCGGAACATTTTCAAAATTTAAGTTAAAAAAATTAATTTTTTGTGAAAAAGTTGTCATTTTAAATCCCCCCTTGTGGGCAGGTTAAGGGTTAAATTTATGAAAAAAATATACCAAATGAAAGGTAATGATATTATGCATCTAAAAAAAAAGAATTATATTGATATGTTTATTTTTGAAAAAGTTATGGCACTTTTAAGTAAAAAAAATTGAAAAAATTTCGAAAATTAGCGATTTTTAAATTTGTAATTTTTTTGGAGGTTTCCCCCTTTTACGGGGAACGAGGGAATTTTTTTCAATTTTTAAGGGTAATGTCTTCGACTAGATACGATTTGTGATCTTTTGACGTATCATTGAAAGAAATCGGTTCGGTGAGAGCTGAGAAAAAGTGGTAACAGACACAAAAAAAAAAAAAACACATCTTAGTAAAACCAATATTCTCAGCTTCGCATCGAAGCTAATAATAAGATAATAACGCAAAAAAAATTTCGTGGAGTTTGAACTCAAAGACTATATTGACACACTGTAAATTAATTTATATAAATTAGCTTAATTTTGAATTAAACTGAAAATATATTTATTCGAATATTTATGCTTTCACATCCCAACGTTATGGAATAGATATTTAGTATTTCAGTACCTATTGGCAGACAAAAAAAAGTAAATATACAATCTCTAATAATAAGGCTTCTTATATATAATGATAAATGATAAATAAACTTACAAAATGAGTTCTTTTCCAATAATGACATGTCTGAGACTATTCGCCTTAGCACCATATAGTTTTTTAATATTCTGCAACAAAATAAAAAAAACCAGTACAGTTGTAACCTAAAGTAGTGTGGATCAAGCATAGTTGGAATCACTTCAAATTCAATAATAATAATTAAAATCTCAATTATTAAATATAAGTTTAATAGAAGCATTTTATAATATTTTATTATAATTTGGTTGTCACCACCAACTTAATATTTTTGCTTTATGATTTTATAGTTCCTTTGAGCACATAGTATTTCTTATGAGTAGATATATCACAATTGTGGTTTTTGTACGTTATTGAGACATTATAGTTTACTTAAACTGAAACATTTCTTGAAAATAATGTGTTCCGGTCTTTATTGATAAAAATTAATTTTATCATAACAATAGATGCGCTCAAGATTTTAAGAATATGCAAAACAAATGTTTTATACCTCTATCTTCACGACTTATTTATTTTCGACAATATAGTTTATCTTCATTTGCCCCTTTCTATGAAAATACCTTTTCTTAAGACAAAAAGTACAGCTAAGCTCTTTTAAAAATTGAGAACTATTGTTTTTATTACTTAAGAAAATATTTTTTAAAGTAAAGAACCCTTAACAATAGTTAAACATTAGCTCTCATAACTCTACAAAACCAACTCAAAATATATGCGAAAATATATACTCAATAAACAATGATAATTACAAAATACATTTTTTTCATGTTAAAAAAGGATAGCAAAATAATTAATATTATGATAAATATAAGTTCCGATTCAAAAACTAACTTTTAGATATTTATAATAAAAAATCTTATTATATAGGTAATGCAAAAATTAATAAAATTATAAAGCTTACTAATGGAACTTTGAATGAATTTTTGATGGAAGTACATCGACTGGTTACATTTATCATAACATCATAAACTCCTTGATACAAATCGAAGACAATTTGATTTTTTAATAATACACCTAAAATATGTTATGAAATATAAAATCATTTTAATGTAAATGATTTGAGAATATATTTTTATTTCAAAAGCCGTATAAATATTAAAACTATACTAAAAATTATAAAGATATATTAGCAAAAATGATATAGAATACTGATATTAAAATACTTATAGAAAAATAATGTATTCAACATCAAACAAGTGCATCATATACACCTCAGCAAAATGGGTCAGCTGAACGAAATATGTGCACTATTGTTGAAGCTGCGAAAAAAGTAATTTCTAGTAAACATCTGCCAAAAAGTTTGTGGACTAAAAGCAGTTAATACAGCGATTATATATTAAATTTTACAGATATATCGGGGTCATATAAAATGAAACTAAGAGATAAACAATATACAAGAAAACCACTCAGGTACAGGGTAGAAACAATTTATTCGAGATCTGATGATCCGACCATTTATTAAGATGCTTTGTTAATAGAAATCACGGAAAGTTGGAGAAAAGCAATGGACGAAAAACTTTCGTCATTGAAGAAAACCTCGGGATAGAATAATTAATTTACTAGAGAACAAAAAATTTATTAATAACTTTTGGATTTACCGTACTCAGTACAAGGCAAATGACTGGTATAAAGTTAGACTTGTTTTAAATTGTTGTGCACAACCTCGTAGAATACAGTTATGCTAATTACGCTAGGGATACAGTAACGAGAAAAACAACATCAAGTTGGGTTTATATAGGTGATTTATTATATTAATATTTATGATGGGCTATGGAATAATTGCTTGGAGTTTAAAAGAACAATTGCACTATCAACGACTAAGTCTAAATATATATATATCTTAGTCAGGCAGTACAAAAACTTTTATGGTTGTCGCTACTAAAAGGTGACCTTCTGAAAACACAGGGAAGTACACCTATTATGTATGCGTATAACCAAAGCACAATAAGATTAGTAAAGACCCCAGAGTTTCATAAGATGACTAAACAAATAGATGTAAAATATCATAACATACGTGACAAATACACTGAATATTTGTTTGTGTTATATATGTAGATATCATAACAAAGCAGTGTCAAAGATTCATTTCCAATACCTCAGGTCACAAGCGGAATAATTAAATAAAATAAATAAATGTTGTAAATTGAAATTTTATAGGGGATGTTAAAATTTTTCCCTGTGGATAGGTTGGGTTAACTATTTAAACTTACTTGTATTATCAAAATGAACCAAAGAAACTTCATTCAATGTGAATCTATTATCTCGAACAATGTACTGACGTAGAGCGTTAGTATAATTATTTGGGAAATTAATAAAGGCCGAAACTAAACCCGTATCAACTGCTTTCAATCCTTCATGGCTGTCTTCAAAGTATTCCTAGGATAACATACAAATTTAGGAACGCATTTTTCAAATATATTAGTTACAATTATTAAAATTTATGAAAAGTTTTAATACATTTTTAAAAATTATAATTTAATTTAGTGGTTTTATAGTCATATTACAAATATTTACTATATTATAATCTTGAGATTTTAAGTAATTTAATATATCGCAACTCAACGCATCATTATCATAATCATCGAACAAACAACTAATTGAGCTAATGTTGTTACATTTGGAAATGTTTATTTCGCTGTTTGATACAGCTATAGTATTGTGCGTAAGTCGATTGCCAATAGTCATATTCGTAAAAAATATTTGATATAACGGCATAACATAAGCAAAAAAAAAATACCTGGAGATAAAAAAAGTTTTTTACATCTAGTATTAAATTTTTAAAGTACTCTTAACAAATGTTAATAATAATAGTTAGAGTTTTTACATGTAATCTCTATAGGAAATCAAATAGTTTTTCCTTACTAACGCCCGGATTCTGTGGAATGTGATATAACTTCGACTTTTATCTAAACCATGATGTACATATTTCAGATCAGTCAAATTTATATCATTACTCGAGACAATATCCTAAAATATAAAATACATATTTTAAAAAATTCAAAAAATATTAAAATTCTACGACTTAATTTCAAAACTTTAAATAAGTAATAATTATAATTTTATATAAAATTATAACTAAATAATAACTCTAAGTTGACCAATTATTCAATATCAATTTTTTAACTAAAAAAAGATTTAAAAATAAATTTGGAAAATCAACGTTATTAGAATTTTCTCTCGTTAAATTTGTTTTAACTTAGAATCATTCGATTGAATCTACACTAAAGTATCTTAATTTTTTTTTTTTAAGGGTGAAGATTATTCAATGAGAAATGAAAAACTAGTGTTAGTAGAATCAGCCTGTAAATACAATAAATTTATGCTAAACTAAATTAAAGGACATTAATACCCTTATTAATTTTAAATAATTTTTCTATTAATATTTCTAAAAAGAATATATTCCTCTGTAATAATCAATAGTAGAATATTCCCAAGAAAGTATCTGTTACTGGGAAAATATCCTCTAGTGTATTCTTTCATTGAATCAAAATTCCAATCTTAGACTAATAACAAATATATTATATATTTAAGTATATTAATAAACACAAAATAGAAATTTTATTTTTAATATTAAAATAGTATGTACAATATTTAAAATCCGATTTATGTATTAAAATGTTTGTGATGTATTTTTTAAAAACTGTTATTGACCTATTTATTTTTAATTACTCTAAAAATAACTATTTTAAAATTTTGAAGGAAATTAAAAAGTTTTTATCTTAATTGACACAAATAATAATAATTAGATGACGATTAGGAAATAGTGTTTGAGATAATTAAAGTCACCTTTAATGATAAACGTCACCTTTCTGTTATTATATGTGTTATAATATATATGGACAAAGAATTCACCAAAAGTTATTATCACACCTTTTCACTGCTCATAGTGGTATTTTATATATTTATTTAAAAATCAATGATTTATAACTATTGTTTATTTTAGCAGTAATCAAATAAACATGGTAAATTTGAGAAGTGTTCATACTTTTTCTTCACTAATATTTTCACAAATTTTTAAAAATGCTATTTCTAATGAATCTGTATTGTATTTTTTCAAAAATTTAATAGGTGACATTTCCTCTATTATTTTACCTTGCCTCATTAATCCAATCTAAAACATATTACATATTTATTTTAGTATTAATAACAAACATTTTATAAATAAATTCTGTTAATATTAACTTTTATTATATCAGTTTAAAATATGTCCGATTAATGTATATAAATATTTTTGATTTTAATTTAATTATGAATTAAATATACTTTTTTAATTATCATAGATATCGAGTAAAAGGATTATACAGTTTTAGTCCCCCTGGTTTAACATCAATTTAACATCCACAAAAATTTAACAAAATTAAAATTATTAATTAAAAAATCAAAGTTATAATTATTTTTTTTTTTTTTGAGCGAGAAAAATTCAATTTAACCCTGTATAACCCCCAAAAAAAATATTAACTAACATACACCTTTGGTAAATATTGATAACAAATTAAAATAAAAGCCTAAACAAATAAAAGGTAATAAAAAAAATAAATACTTTTTTTATTAACGAGTTCCAACACTGTGACCCAACAAGGAAAAAGTTAGAAGGTATAACAATTCTTAGGATAATAAGGAATGATAAATTTAATTTTTTAATTTATTTGCTATTTATATTTGATGAAATATTCTTATATAATTGATATAAAGAGTATTTAGAAATTAAGGAAACAGCTCGATTGTCATAAATAATGAGAACAATAGAAATCCGTTTCCTTATTTTCTAAACACTCCATATACTAAAATTTTCTTTCCTGTTTACTAAAAAACAAATTTTAGAATTTATCTCAAAATTGAAGATTTTGGTTAAACATTTTTCATATTTATTAAGCACTCATACTTAATTCTGTTCAAGCCAATAAGAACAATTATTACTTTTCAGGGACAGTTGCCGTGGTGCATATTGTTTGCTGACACTATATTAATAGGAGAAAATAGGGAGGAAATTAATCAAAGGCTAGAGGTGTGGAGATCGTCTCTTGAAGAAAAGAGTTTAAGAATAAGTAGGAGTACGACAGTGTATGTAGAGTACGAGTTTGACAAGGAAGAACATGAGGTAGGTGAAATGAGGACATCAGTGACAATAGGCCAGGACGTGATAGGAAAAGTGAAAAGTTTTAAGTATTTAGGATCAGTTTTGCAAAAGAGCGGTAGTATTTACGAGGATGTAAAACACAGGATTAAGTGCGGGTGGTTGAAGTGGAGAGAAGCGTCTGGTGTCTTATGCGATAAAAGAATTCTTATGAGCCTAAAAGGTAAATTTTACAAGACTGTAGTGAGACCAGCTATAATGTATGGTTCAGAGTGTTGGGCAGTTGATAAGTAGAGCATAGAATGAGAATAGCAGAGATGAGAATGCTTAGATGGATGAGTGGAATGACTAGAGAAGATAGGATAAGGAACGAGCATATAAGAGGAAGTATAGGTGTAGCATCAATCGTGGATAAGATCAGAGAAAATAGACTTAGGTGGTTTGGTCATGTTACGAGGAGAGAAAAATCGGAAGCTGTAAGACAGTTATAGAAATGAATGCTGAAGGAAGAGGAGGTAAAGGAAGACCAAAAAAGAGATGAAGGGAAGTTATTGAATGCGATATGAGGATAGCTGATGTGAGCGTTGATGATGTGGGAGATCATGTTAAGTGGTAATTTAGGATAAGGGTGGCCGACCCCTAATAATTGGAATTAAGGTGAGAAAAAAGAAGAAGATAGGAGATGTTGAAATTAAAATTAAAATTTAATGTAATTATTTATTTTTATGTAGAACATTTATAATTTATGCTGATGTAGTATTAAAAAATAACAGACTACTATGGAAATAGTTTTTTTTTTGTTACTTTCACGTAACAGTCAGTTGTATTGTCATTTTCGTTGTGTTGTATTTACAGTCTTATATTATATTTTTTGTCAATTTTACTTTTACTAAATTAAATTGTTATAATACTTTTATTTAAACAGTAGTTAAATATTATTTTTTACTCCTTTCTTTCAACATTATTATTTTTTACATATCATGGCGTTCTAGTTAACATTCATAGTAATGTATTTTGAAAGGCTTGTATTGATCGAATATTAGATGGTTTAGCTTGTCCCCATTTCTGAACACCTTAAGACTAGACTGATATGATTATTGACTGATAAATAAGTAATTAGGATTAAGGCGAGGAAATATAAGAAGACTCATACCTATTTCTGTTCAGGCCAAAAAGAAAAATTATTACTTTTCTATCATTGTTTATCAAAATTTACCATATCTGCCTGAGCTGCTTCCTGAATGTAGTGTGTAGTGATAACAATTGTTTTATTTTTATTTTTTACAAGATCAACTAAATAATTCCATATTCTAAAAAAGAAAATTACTATTTTAATCGTATTTACAAATATAAATAATAAACTACATTGCTAAATGGTCTATCATGCCTCTGTTCACCAGTTAAGCCAAATAACCGCCATCTTTTTTGAGGCCAAACAATTTTTTCCTATACTTCGTTTACAACTTACTTTGTTATCATAGAGAAAAAATTATTTGACCTTAATAAAGATGACGACTATTTGCCTTCAGTCGTTATCACAAATTAGCAATCTAGTTTATTATTCACATCTGTGATCGTATCATTTATTTGACTGTGCTAATTTAAATAATTTATTTTACTTGTGACTTAAAATTGGATCTAGTCCAACTGTAGGTTCATCTAAAATGATAATTTGTGGATCGTGTATCAAACTTACTGCCATTGATACCCTTCTACATTGACCACCACTAAAATTTAACTATTATTAAATAATAAAATAAATGCAGACTTTCATATACCTATAAAGATGTATCAGATCTAACTGACAACACTTATAACTTTTTATTCAATTATCTCGCTAAATGTCTTTTTATAATTATTACCTTCTTAGTATACTTCTAAATATGACTACAACTAATTGAATTAAGTTCCAAGTCTTGTTTACAAAGCTATTTTTATTTCAATCATTTATTTATCTCAAAATTATATACAAATTTTGTTATTATAAAAATTTTCAATTGGTTCATACATTTTTATTAATTGAGATGTAATTTTAAATTCAATATCTCAGTAATCTAAAAGTGAGCCACTTTAAAACCTGGCGTTATATTTATCTTAATTATTTAGTTATTTACAAATAAATGGTTACAACATGACAGTTAAATAATAATAATAATAATGATTACATTTTTGTCAAAATTGCCCATAAAGGATAATAACTTTTTTAATTACACTAAAAATATTGGAAAAAAATCATGGGTTGTATTCAAGAAAATGTAATTAAAATTTTTTTGAATTTAATATAAAGTGAAATTAAGTAGCCTTTGTTAATTTTATGCCAAATTCATCATATCTTAGGTTATAATATGTGGGGTACCAGGGCCCAGACCGACCTGTTGGCTGCCAAGGTTAAAGAGGCGCTGAACGGCATGGACGTCCACGTACACCGCCCTGCGATGTCCGTGGCGTTCATGCTGCTTGACGTGGAGAAGTGGATAGTAGAAGAGGACGTCGTAGAGGCGTTGACCACTATCCTCTCGAAAGAGGGGGTCGCTGTGCCTGCCAGTTCGGTGTCAATCCGACTGCACGGGAGTGGCAAAGGCCGCTACGTGTGGTGCGAAGTGCCCATTAGGGCTTTGCAACCTTTGGTTGGGCTGACACGAGGAGGGATGGAGCACGTGCCGGATCCGGGTCCCAAAGGACAAGGGACCGCGCTGCTACAGGTGCCTCGAGAGGGGGCACGTGCAGACGGCCTGCAGGGGTCCCACCGGACCGGTGCGTGTTTCTCGTGCAGGGCAGAGGGACACCGGGCCAGGGACTGCCCCAAGGAGGTGGGAGGGCTGGAAAAGCCTACCTAAGGTATCTCCTGTCCTCTTGCTATTTGTGTGTTTTATGTGTTTCGTGATTTTTATGCCAACCCATAGCAAAGCCCTACCCCCACCTCCACATGGTGTGACCTGGGCAACGGAACCCACTCTGGGATCCGGCTAACGGGGGAGGCCACCTCGTGTTGTGACTCAGCTTTTGATTAATTTCGGGCTGAATCACAACACGGCGGTGTAAGTTTTATAGTGACGTCGGTCACCCTGAAGCAATACCTCACAATAGTTCCAGGGCGGCCAACATTATGTCGACCGTATAAAAAAAAAAAAAGTTATGATATGAGCATTAAATAATTATCTTCATTCCCATTTAAATAAATTCTCCAATATCAAAACAGATGAAAAACTTTACTTTGAATAAATTATAAAAAAAATGTGCTTTAAATCTAAGAAAGCAATAATTGTTTTCATAAAAATTTCAACAGAATGGATCAAAAGTTATAAGCATTCTCAGTTAAATTATGAGCAGAGACTGAACCGTTGGCTTTGTTTGCAGTTTTGGTTTTGTATTTCAGTTATGAAAAATAATAGATTTAAGCTTTTGTTTAAGTAACTGATTTTGAATTGTATGTGATTTTAATTTTAATTAAAAAAACTGAAAATAATCGTTTTTAAACGGTTTTCAAAAAAAAGCGGTTTCAGTCTCTTGATTTGACACAATCTATACATATAAGATATATATGTATATATGATTGATATATACTCATATACGAAATGTAACAATAAATTAACAAGACTTTCTTAATAACTCCATAAATATAAATTAGTTTTTTATGTTCTGGTGTTAAAATAAAAGCAGGATTTACTTTGTTGATGAGATAAGGAGGTGGCTTGATTTTAATAAAATAAATTGTTTTTACATATTACTATAGATATAATATTTACTATATACAATCAGAATACTACATGTACAGTCGTCTGTTTTCCCAAAATGTAAACTATGCATCTTATTTTAAAATAATAATAATGTTATTTTCAATTTATACGATAAACTGAAAATCACTAAAAGCACTGACGATATCCCATGATGAGTGTAATTAAAAATAATATAAAAAGGCTTAGTTTCGCTTGCACATCGTGTGAGCGAGCAAGCCACACTATTCAAGCTCATTCAAGCTTCGAAAGAAGCGTTTCTTATGATAGTGATTTCAATCACTGTCAGATATTATCTATAGTTGTTCCAACTATGATACATCAACACTGTGCTGCAACCATACTATTTTTTCTTTTTCTTTTTCAAAAAATATATAAAAGTGTCAGTATTGGCGGAACATTTTCAAAAGCAGAGTTGAAAAAGTCATTATTTGTGGAAAAGTTACCATATTAAAACCCCTCCTGTGGGCACGTAAAGGATCAAATGTTCACAAAAATAAACCAAATGATAGATAAATACCTAAGGTATTTATAAAAAAAATGATGTTAATTTGTTCATTTTTAAAAAAAGTTATGGTAGTTTTAAGAAAAAGAATTAAAAAAATTACCGATTTTTAAAATTGTAATTTTTTGAGAAATTCCCCTCATTTACGGAGAACGAGGGAATTTTTTAATGAGTGCATGTAGAATTACTCCATTACACCCTACCTCAACAAAAATTTTCTTTAATCTTTTTTTCTTATTTTTGAAAGTGCTATTATTTTACGATACCTCATTTTTTTAACGAAACTTAAATATTGTGAAACAATAAAAAATATTCCCTCTTACTATACGTATCTTTGTCGGTCATTAGATAAAAGAAAATAATCAAATATCATACTAGGGAGGGTTTGGGGTGTTAAAACCTCAATTTATTTCAAATGGGTGTAGTTATTCAATTATAAAAGTTGCTAAATGTAACTAAATTTTAACTATATTACAATTATTGTAATATATGTAATGATTGGTGTATTTAAATTAAACCAATTTTTCTTTTTAAAAAATAAAATTTTATAAATTTTAAATTTATTAATTTTGGCTTCCTTTCTTTATCTTTTACACTGTGCACATTAACAGAGCAGTTGTCACAAGATTTTTATAATATAAAGTCTTGTTATCTTAAAACCTTGTAATTTGTGATTCTGATTGTAAGATTAAATACCTTAAATCTTTTATGAGTTTATCAGGAAAATTAATTTCAAGAAATTCACATAGTTCTTCAATCCTACTTAACATTTGTTTTTCTGTCATATTATACAAAGTTCCATAGTATTTAAGGGTATCGTATATAGTCAAATATTTATCCAATTGTAACTCCTAAAATAAAAATTAAAACATTTTTTTGTTTAATTTTATTATCATTTTAATTTAGATAATTCCTATAAAACGCCTCACGCAATATCGCTATAGTTTGAACTATAATTATTGTAAGAAAATAATTATATATGAAATTTTAATATTTTTGATATACTTTTTTATAATGACTTATTATTTTAAACATTTTTTGCCTAATAATCTGCTATTAAATACAGACTTGAATTACAGTGTTTTATCAATTTAATTTTTATATATCTTTAAAAAAATATATATAGAAAGTTTACTTGTACCAAAATATAAGTAAGATGAATTTAGTTTTCTTCCTCTTCTAACATCATAAATTCTAAGGTGGACCGTTTATAATTTTTGTTGTCTATTTATTTATTTTTTATCGTGAAAGAGAATGCGCGAATGAATTTCCGACACAGCGATGTCAACAACTCATTATTTTGCGGCTATCTTCTAGATAAGGCGACAAGAGAAAATAACCATAATTAAAATCAAATTCTTTATCGGTATTGATTACTCCCAAAGACTAGCCGTTATCGATTTGATATTGCTATTAGATCGGTGTTGACTCTTCGTCATCCCTTCTGTCATTGCTAGAGTGCTCATATTATAGATCATCGGATGGGTCTCTTCGGAGATCGGGTATCGTTTTCTTTTTATAATTATATTTATGTAATGAGCTGTGATTAATAAATTATTTTGTTTTATTATAAATTTATTTTATTTTATTTATCTATGGAGAGCAAATTTTCTCTCTTTCATCTAGCGAACGCTAAGGAGCGATTGTCCAGATCTTTCCTAGTGATTTTTATTAATTTCTGATTATAATTAACAGATGTGTTCCACTATCGTTCGTGATGTTTGTTATATTGTTTGAATTTGTTTAAATATTTGATTTTATTTTTGTTGTCAGCCTTTCATTGTAGACTTGGTTTTTTATACATTCATATTTTGTTCATGTCATTTATCATTTTTTTAACAGTTAAATCAAATTTCCTAATTAATCATAACTGTAGTATTATTTTATTACGTGAGTAGCTTAAGTACTCGCGTGTAATTTGTTCCCGTTCCTTAATCTAGACACAGGCTACGATATTTTTTATATATCAACCACATACAACTTCAATTATTATAAAATTGGTTAATATTGCTTATTGTCACTGATATTCTCATTTCACCTACCTCGTATTCTCCTTTGTCAAACTCCTAGTCAATATAATTATTAATTAATATACTTATTAAGAATAATACTTATTCTTAATTTAATTCCTTCAAGAGCTTATCTCCACGCCTCTAGTCTTTGATTAATTTCTTCCATATTTTCTCCTATTAACACTATATTATCAGCGAACAACATGCATCATGGTACCTCTTTCTGGATTTCTCTAGTAGTTTTATCCATCACTATAGAAAATAAGTAAGGGCTTAAACAGAACCTTGGTGCACTCCTACTCTTACCCTAAACCCTTTTGTTAATCCTTCTACGCTTTTTACTCTGGTACAAATGCCATTATACATATCCTCTATTATATTAATGTACCTTTTCGGGGCTCCTTGTCTCATTAAAAGGAGTTGCGTATATTAATATTTATGTTAAATAATTTTATTCTATATACGTCCTCTTAAGCATAAACGCCGTGTGTGCATCATTTATTACAGTTGACGAATGACATAATTAGCCTGATTAGATAAAAACCTCATTGGTTAAATTATACGCACGAATGTAGTGCGTGTAATAAGTTGCGTTCAATTTTGCAAGTTTGATTTGTATGTATGCTTTACCGTCGCTCTTCAGTAATGATTGCATTTACGTTCTAGCATTGTGTCCTGGTCATCACATATTAATACGACGTTGTCGTTTTATTAATCTCCATTGTTTTTTTAAGAGTATGCAATTTCCAGGCCAATTAGCCATTCGCTACCTCTGCCTGATGCACTATTGCCCATCTGTAAATTATTTGTTTCTGTCAGTGAGTAACAATTTAGTTTATTACTTCGAATAATTTACAGCCCATTCATACAAACATTGATTATTACCAATTCAGTATTTATCCGTATACATTGTTTTATTTGCTACTCTTAATAATAATATTTATTTTTTATTTAATTCTTAATTTGATTGTATTGTTTATACTTAACTAAGACTCAAGCGTTTCTTGCATATTGCGAATAGTTAATGTAAATAACATAAATTAATTTTATATTGTTTAATATGTCAGAAATATTTTTTGTTGATTACCTGATTTATTGTGTCTAATAAACTATTATGGTTGTAAGACAACTTTAATTGAACTAAGGTTCCCCACTTTTATCCCATCTGACCTTTTATCACCTATCTAGAACCAACTAGACGAGGCTAAACTAAAACAAAGCGGCTTCTGAATATTCGCATCGTACAAAAACTAGTTTTATTAATAATTCTTGTATAAAACTAAAGTCATGGAATATAAAAATAATTTATTCATATTGTTTCAACATTTTTTTTTAATCTCAAAAAAATAACAGTTAATAAATAAATATATATATACAGGTATCTCAGATCTAACAGACAATGCTTACAACTTTTGATACAATTATTATTTTATTGACATTTTTTTTTTTAAATTATTTACTTAGACTCGTTTAAAGTATATTTTTATTATTTACCATTAATAAGAAAAAATAAAAAATAATTTATTATTTTTATCAAAGTAACGATTTTTTTATTACAAAAAATGTTGATGGATCGATATCTATTTTAGGACAAGTACTCCATAAGCTACGAACATTTTAATACATAGTGTGGATAAGGAACGTAAGTGGAGTATGTGTTGTAAATATACACTAGTACAAGCTGTACACACCAGCGCTTCATACAAACTATGGATTAAAATACTTAAAGTTCAATGAGAACTTCTTCTAAAATTTGTATATATCCATTAACATTTTTCGTTATTTTGACATTATGAAATAAATAAAATTTGATTAATTTATGATAAATATTATAAAATATATTTTAACGTAATCTAAAAAGATAATAATTATTTTAAAAAAATTTTTAATTATGTCAAAATGTATTAGTGTTTTCATTTAGGTGTGAAAATACATCAATATATATATGTTAATTTATGCAATAGATATTAAAGAATTAAGTGAAAACAGTGAAAAGTCTTAACAAAAAAATAATTTCAAATATTTATAAAAACTATTTGAGTAGTATTCCAAAACACCACAATTAAAGTATTTAAGTAATTTTTCAGGGAAGTATTTTACAAGCATTTTAAATATATTACAACTCTATATTCAAATCATAAATCTATTAAATTAAGTATACACAGAGTATAAAGCAAACTAAACATATATTTTTTTAATTTGTAGTAAATAAGAAATTATTTAACTTCAGTAAAAAAAAAATCAATTAATTTATACTTTATATAATGTTGCGTTTGGCGTCGTCTAGAAATCATCTATAATTTACCTTTTTTTACAATATTATTTTACAAGTAAAGTAATATTTTCAAAGAAACATTTTTTATGTACCTGTGGCATAAACCCAATCTGTGAAGTGGTATCTGCATTTATATCTATCGTTCCTGCATCTAAATTTTGAGTTCCTACTATTGAACTTAATAAAGTAGTTTTTCCACAGCCACTTGGTCCCAAAAGTCCATAGCTAAATTTTTTTTTTTAATTTTTTAAAATAATAGAAATAGTTTTTTACTAGTTTATATCAGTTTAATTTTATTCTAAATTACTATTTTTTAGTCCTTGATTTATAGTTAACGAATTCTTAAATTAACAAAAATATTAGTCTATCATGACAGTAATTTTTATTGAATTAGTATAATTATATATCATTAAATAACAAAAAACATTAGGGTAACCATAATNAATATTAGTCTATCATGACAGTAATTTTTATTGAATTAGTATAATTATATATCATTAAATAACAAAAAACATTAGGGTAACCATAATCATTTAACACTACAACTATATAAAAAATTTTAAACTCAATTCTTCAGATTGATGATGATGAACAATGTTTGTAAAACTTCTTACTCTTTCTATTTTTATTTTATTTATATCAATACATAGACAAAATTAATTTTAAATAAATCTGTTGAATAATTAAAAAGAATAAACGTTTTTAACCACCCCATCAAATTTTTTAATGCATATTTTTTGATATTTTATTCAAAATGATTTGAAACAATTTGCGTAATTTATTGGTTGAGAAGTTACAGCTTTTATGATAAAGCAAACCAAGTATACCTAAATCTCTAATATATTTTTGCAAAAATAATGTTATTAACAAATTATATAAATTTTGGATGTGTATCTAATAAAATATTTTTTAGTTAATTAAAATTACCTAATGAAAAATTATTATTTACAATATTATCATAATTTAATCCTTATTTCTTTTTTGATATATACCCATAATGTAATTAATTATTTAAGCCTGGATTATTCATTATTCAAATACTTACATAATACCTGTGGGCACATTCAAATTTAAATTGTTGATCACTTTGTGTTTGTTAAATGATTTAAAGGCATTAGATATTTTTAAAGCTGTATTATTGGCACTATTTCTCTCCATTTTAATAAAAAAGCGTATTCACTATCATAACCGACTAACAAACTGTATGTTATAATGTTCACAAGTGAAGAATAAAATTTTAAACATCACATATGAGTGATCTTGTGAACGAAGGTCAACGTGTGCAATTTTGTTTTATATTAAATCCATGTTCTCTATAATGTGTGTAAAATGATTTTTTTAATTTAATTTAAATTATCTTTCTTTACTTAAATCTATAAATGTTAATTTTTGACCATTTATTGGTAAAACGCCTTAGATTATTCACTCAATTATATTTAAGAAAGATTATGTCTTTCAAATAAATAAAAGTATAAGTAAAATCTGTTATGAATTTAATTTATTTAACTATAATTTACGTTATAACAATAATTAATTATATAATAAAATGATTATGATATATTCAAGGCCAAAAAAAAGGCCAAATAATTCAATCAGCTATTAGACACAAATTTAACAATCTATTGCACATGGCGAAAGTGCTATCATAAAATTCAAGGTTTTTTATTTTTAAGTAAATTGTTGACAAGGATTATAATTAACATACATATAGACGATATTTTATCATGAATCTTCTTAATAATAAAAAAATAAAAATAATAATGATATTGTTGCGAAACTGAGAAGGTATTACTTTTATTATGTTTTTTTTTGTGTGTCTGTTACCACTTTTTCTCAATTCTGGAAAGTCTGACATTTGTATATTTATCTTAATAACCGAGTCTCATAATGGAGATAATGTGCATCAGGTTTTACTGCAACATCGCCTCTTTAAGTTAAGTGATCCAAATTATATTAACTTGTAATTGGACGAAAAATTAGATAGGAATATATCCGTACATATAATACAATATATTCATATTAAATATCAAAAATTTGTCTTTTCAAGTTATAATAAGCTTTTCACCTAAAATAAATTATATTATTTTTAACATTATTTCAACCACTGTTAATACTTTTAGCTGCGACGCGAAGCTGAGAAGGTATTAATTTTACCATGATGTGATTTTTTCTTTATTTATTTATTTTTTTGTCTGTGAACGCTCAATCTCAGCTCTTGCTAGACCGATTTTGATGAACAATACGTCAAAAGATCACAAATCGTATCTAGTCGAAGATTTTAACCTCAAAAATTGAAAAAAATTTCCTCGTTCCCCGTAAATGCGGGAAATCTCCAAAAAAATTACAAATTTAAAAATCGCTAATTTTTTACATTTTTTCAATTTTTAGCTTCGATGTGAAAATTAGGTCAAGTGAGGGTTGGAAAAATAAATCGCAGCCACAAAAAAACTACATAGTAAAATTATATTAACATGAATAAGAAATTTCTTCTTACGAGGTGGGCCTATAGTGAAGGGATCCTTGATATTTATTGAAATTATTGAATCTAAATGAGATAAATATAAAATGATTTGAACATTTTTTTCTAACTTAAAAAAATGCAAAATATTATTACCACAGGTGGATTCGATCTTCGTACCCTAAGCGTGAAAGACATAAGGGTTACAGATTGGGCATCTGTTCGTTGCTTTCGTCGCATGATAAAATTAGTAATTTAAGCTAATTCAAATTTAAAAATTACTTTTTCGACATTAAAAAATTGAAAAATTTTTAATAAGTTTAATTTTTTATGTCTTATGAACTTTATTCTACGACAAATAAATTATATATTCATAATATTCATAAAAGTCAGTGTATTCCCCTTGTAAGATATTTTAAAATTAATTAAAATACAAAACCCAGAATTTTAACACAAAAATAGTATATATTTGAATACGGTAGCCATTTTCACCAAGAAGAAAATGTGTATTTCGAATTTTTTTTTTTTCATTGTAAAGTATATAACATAAGCTTAAATTTAACATTAAATAAAACTGTGAATATTTTCGGAACATTTACAAAATTAATACCTTCTGAGCTTCGCATCAAAGCTAAAATCTGATTAAATTTTTTCGTTTCCTGTAAATGGTGGGAATTTCCCAAAATTTACAATTTTTAAAATGTATTAAAATATAAACTTTTATACTTAGAACTATGATAACTTTTTGAAAAGTGTATATCAAAAGAAATTGTTTTATAAATACCTTAGATATTTCTCTATTATTTAATATAAATTTTTGAAAATCGTACCGTTACACTTCCCAAAGGGGAATTAAGAATAGCAACTTATGTATGAAAAGTATTGAAAATGTATCGAAAATAAACTAAACTTTAAACATATTATAAATAAATGATTAAATTACATATTATAAGCTAAAAAGAGTATATCGACGTCTTGACTCAAGTTAATCAAAAAATATTATTTTTTAATGTAAAAAAAGATCCTTTTTATGTTGTTATAATTTTCTACTTAAATTTTATTTAAGTAACCCCTTTTTTAATATTTTACTAGAAAATATTTTTAGGAAGAATGTTTGCATTTTTTAATGTTGATCCAATAAGTATATTAAAAGAGACTGTGTAGTAAAAGCTGAGGAAATATTAAATAACGTCGATACTAGTATAATATAAGTTGGGTTAGTAATAAGCAATTTCTAAATTCTTAAGCAATATAATAATGCCATATAAAGGGAAAACGCAGGGTAAGCAAATTAATAATGATAAGAAAAAGAATATAAAAGAGAAAGATGATAAGTATAGTGTTGATATAGTATATTACATTTATACTTTATGTTTTTACGTTTCATAAATAAAATAACAACTTAAAAATCTATACTTGAGAGTAAATACTTTATATCCGTCGTGCTATTAAAAATTGTGTGTGTGTGTGTGTGCGGCAAGAGTCGAGGTCGGACTATTAGTCCTTTAGTCGATCTTAATAATTAGTGTGCGTACTGGCTAGTTTTTGGGCTTAACCGTCTTTAGTAGGTATAGTGAAAAGGTAGATGTGCTGGTTGCTTACGAGAAGTCACACTTCAGTCAGCTACTTTTTTTTTTGAGTTTGACCGTGCTGACGGGTCTAAACTGTACCCCTTTAGTAGTTCACTAATTAGAGGGATTGGGGCTGACCAATGTATCCAACGGGAGGACTTGAGAAGAGCTTAAAACGACGAACTCGTCGTCAAAAACATTAGTTAATTTGTGTACTACTTTTTATGTTTACGTCGAGGCACTACCGACGTACACAGCTGCTTTAATAAAAAAAAAAAACGGTAGCACAGTGGGGTCGAGGCACAGTATAGACGTGGCATAGATGAGATAAGTATAGATGATATCTGACAGTGATTAAAATCACTATCATAAGAAACGCTTCGATGCAAATCTGTAGATAGTGTTTCCTTTAGAGAAATTGGTGAAATATTTTAAAAGCAACATGAACTCTTATTTCTTTAATTATATCCTGATTAGTAGTTCTTTGATTTTAAAATATAATATATGAATAAATACTAATTATAGTTTTTAAATTTAGTATGAAATTGTG